CAAGCTATGTGGGCTCTTTATCTCTTGGTATGGAAGTGTTCCAGACCCAAGGCCCATTCTTATGTGACCAAGTGGGAGTCAAAATACTGCGTACGTGAGACTGCTTTTACCAACGTACAGTATTTGTCCTTCTGTGACTGGCTTATTTCCCTTAGCATAATGTCCTCAAGTTTCACCCATGTAGCATGTGATAGACTTCCTTCCTTCTTTTTAAAGCTGGATAATATTCCACTGTATGTATATGCTATCTTTTGTTTATCCACTCATCCATCAATGGACGTTTGGCTTGCTTTCCACCTCCTGACTCCTGTGAATAGTGCTGTTATCAACATGGGTGTGCAAATATCTCTTCAAAACCCTGCTTTAAATGCTCTTGGATATAGACCCAGAAGTGGCATTGCTGGATCCTGTGGTAGTTCTATTTTTAATTTTTTGAAGAATCTGTATACTGTTTTCTACAGTGGTTAGACCAGCTTACAATCCCATAAACAGTGCACAAGGGTTCCAATTTCTCCACATCTCTGCTAACACTTGTTCTATGAACTGAATTTTGTTCCCTCCCAAATTACTACGTTGTAGCCCTAACCCCCAATATGATAGTATTTGGGAAATGTGACCTCTGAAGATAATCAGGTTTATATGAGGTCATAAATGTGGGGACTTCATGATGGGTTTAGTGCCCTTTTAAGAGATGCCAGAGAGCTTGCTCTTTTCTTCACCCTATATGCACATGCATCAAGGAAAGTCCATGTGAGCACAGGGAGATGCAGCTGCCTACAAGCCAAGAGGAGAAGTCTCAGAATGAAACCTGCTTTGTGGGGACCTTGATCTTAGACTTTCTAGCCTTTAGACCATGAGACTGGCTGACGCAAGCCGCCCAGTCTATGGTATGCTGTTATGAGGGCCCAAGCTAAGACTCATGTTATTTTCAGTTTTATTGATACTAGACATCCTAATGGGTGTAAGGTGATATCTCACTGTGATTTGGATTTTCATTTTCATGACTAGTGATGTTGAGCCTTTTTTCATATGCTTGTTGGTCATTTGTACATCATTTCACCTGTTGACTGTGTCCTTTGATGCACAAAAGCTTTTAAACTTGATGTAGTCCATTTGTTTATTTTTTTGCTTTTGTTGCCCTGCTTTTGGTGTCATATCTAAGAGATCATTGCCAAGTACACTGTCATGAAACATCCACCTTCTGTCCACAAATATTGGTGCTCTTGGTTATCAGGCCTTCAGACTCAGAATGGGACTTAGACCATGGTTCTCAAGCCTCTGGACTAGGGCTGGGACTTAACACCATCAACTCAACTGGTTTTCAGGCCTTTGAATTTAGACTGAATTACACCACTGGCTTTACTGGTTCTCCAACTTATAGATGATGGATTGTAGGACTTCTTGAACTCCGTAATCATGTGAACTATTCCTATAGTACACTATTTACATATAGCTATATATATATTCTGTTTCTCTGGAGAACTCTGACTAGTAAAGATTTGGGTATGGGGAGCAGTACTAGAAGAACAAAATGTTAAGGATGAGTTTTCTGAATTGGTTCTGGGGTTTCTGGAATTGGCTCTCTAGTCTGATTAGATTTAGAGATGCTAATGACTCCATTTCATAGTAGAGAGCCCTGATAGTCCATGGTGTGAAAAGTATATAGAGATATGCAAAACATCTGCATTGAATATCCTCATCAACCACTTAAAAGAAGAAAGGAACTAAGTGACTCTGTGTTTGGCATTTTTGAACATTTTTGGAAAACCAAGGAATATAATGTGTTGGTTGCTTCTAATGTTGTTGGACAAAGTGGTGAAAGAAAAGGATGAGCTCTGGGATTCAAATTCCCAGCTCAGGTGCAGCATAAAGTGACCTAAGAGCTTCTACGAATGCCCTGAGGGACAGCCATATCTCCTGTAGCCACACGGCTGATATTTCTGAGAATCAAAAATTGATTCCTTGCCTAGCAATTGGCTGAATTATAATGCAAGTTGACCTCCCAGCCTCACAGCATGTCTTCTGTTAAAGTGAATGCATTGCTTGGGAAAGAATGGGATTCTGTAATTTGGGGTGGGGCCATGTGGAAGACCCTGATGAAACTGGGGACACAGAGCCCCTAAATTCTGATGAGTCTTCTTTTCTTGTGGGATTGGCCTCACTGGCTCCATCTCCAGCAAAGGTGGCCTCCTCAATCCCTATCAGAAGATGTATCTCCACCCCAGTGATAGGCGGCCTCTCCGCCAACAGTGGTGGCCAAGAAGAGTGGCTTCACAAAGTGAATCAGCTATATGTATACATATATCCCCATACCTCCTCCCTTTTGCGTCTCCCTCCCACCCTCCCTATCCCACCCCTCTAAGTGGTCACAAAGCACAGAGCTGATCTCCCTGTGTGATGCAGCTGCTTCCCACTAGCTATCTACTTTACATTTTGTAGTGTATATATGTCAATGCTACTCTCTCACTTTGTCCCAGCTTACCCTTCCCCCTCCCAGTGTCCTCAATTCCATTTTCTATGTCTACCTCTTTATTCCTGCCTTGCAGCTAGGTTCATCAGTACCTTTTCATTTTTAGATTCCATATATATGAGTTAACATACAGTATTTGTTTTTCTCTTTCTGACTTACTTCACTCTGTATGACAGACTCTAGGTCCATCCACCTCAGTATGAATAACTCAATTTCATTTCCTTTTATGGCTGAGTAATATGTCATTGTATTTATGTGCCACATCTTCTTTATCCATTCATCTGTCAATGGACACTTAGGTTGCTTCCATGTCCTGGCTGTTGTAAATAGTGCTGCAATGAACATTGTGGTACATGAGTCTTTTTGAATTATGGTTTTCTCAGGGTATATGCCCATAGTGGGATTGCTGGGTCATATGGCAGTTCTATTTTTAGTTTTTTAAGGAACCTCCATATTGTTCTCCATAGTGGCTGTATCAATTTACATTCCCACAACAGTGCAGGAGGGTTCCCTCTTCTCCACACCCTCTCCAGCATTTATTGTTCGTAGATTTTTTGATGATGGCCATTCTGACCAGTGTGAGATGATAGGTATCAATCAACTACATACAATGAGGTCATTGTAGTTTTGATTTGCATTTCTCTAATAATTAGTGATGTTGAGTATCCTTTCATGTGTTTGTTGTCAATCTGTATATCTGTTTTGGAGAAATGTCCATTAAGGTCTTCTGCCCATTTTTGGATTGGGTTGCTTGTTTATTTGATATTGAGCTGCATGAGCTGCTTGTATATTTTGGAGATTAATCCTTTGTCAGTTGCTTCGTTTGCAAAGAATTAATTACAAGTAACTGAATAATTTCATGTTAATCAAAAGTAACTGCTGGGGGAAACAGAAACCTGAGCTGGGCATTTGTATTTGAGATAGTGCTTTCAGAGTGAATTGATATGAACTACTTCTCCTCTACCTGGCTCCATACCTGAGTATGGAAGAATAAAACTGAGGCCACACTTTTTAGTGAATTTCAAGGAAAGAAAAAGTGTTCTTTCAATGACTGTATGTTATCTAGCACTGAGTGTCTGAAAAGTCTCATTTTCTTGTGAAATAGCCATGAAATGAGTTGGGAGATTACAAAAAAGGAGAAATTAAAATAGGCTAATATATTCCATGATCATTTTATAGAAGTAGGAATCTTAGCCAAAAATTAATATTGCAAAAATAACAAAAAATAACGAGACACTCCCTTGTGCCAGGCATGCTAAGCAATTTAATGAATGTATAAAATTTAAGTAGCTGTATAGGGAAAGCATACAATGATGAAAACTGTGATGTAAGGAAGAATGGCACATGAATGGGTGACACTTACAAGGAGACTGGATCATATAAGCTCTGGCATCAGGGTAGGCAACAGAAAGAAATACATCTGATAATGTAAGAGGGGTTCAAAATTTATTTGATGGTCACTAAATTTCATGTATTAAGTTATATGTAAAACCCAGCTTTATAAGCCATAAGTTATTTTGTCAGCCCAGAGAAAAATGAATTTAATACATTATGTAAAAATTAAATCCAATTAGGAATAATAAAAATTGAGGCATTAAAGAGCAGGACTCTAAGTTTTGGGTGATGTCATTAGGCAGTGAGAACATGAAAATACTGAGTACAAAGGAAAACTAAAATGTCAGGAAGTATTGAAAGATTGGTATGAGGATAACAGAGATGATTCAGAACTTTAAAGTGATTTCTTGGTTGTCTGATATGAGAATAGGCTACCAGGACAAAATAATTATGGAAGGGGAAAAAGAAGGATATTTGAGTTGTGAGAAAAAAAAATTTAGTTTTTTTCAACCATTTTGAGAATAAAGAGACCATAACACTGAAATACAGCTGCCCTGAAGGGGCACAAGTCATTAAAATAAAGTAAAAAGGCTTAAACTGCAGGTATGGATGAGGCCTGGAAACAGTTATTGTATAAGAAGAAAAAGAGCAGAACTTGAGGATAGAGTGCTCAAAGATAGACAAATTAGGAGGAGAAAAAGACTGGGAATCAAAATTCTTTCACTCTCAGATATCCATTGTATGCCTATTCTGTGCCTTATTATGTTTGAGGCAGGAGAGATACAACTTTAAACCAGGTCAACTAATGGGAATAAGCACTTAGGGAAGCACAGACAAAAGTATGATAAAATCAATGTTTGGGCTGATTTCAGGAATCATGATTAGTAAGTATCATCAAAGGAAGCAGAAAGAGTGTGGGAAAGAGATGTAGTGCCCCCAAATTTTTCAAATAGGACAGATAAGTGGAAATTTTGAAATACAATTTCAGAAGTAAGAAGAGCTAGTAAGTGCTTAGGAGAAAAAACAAGGGAAGAAACGGACTGCTTGAAATGAAGAGTGCCATTATAAATAGGGAGGTTGTGGAAGGCCATACTGAGGTGATGTAACAAGACCTGAATCCTCTTATAGAAACAAACACATTTGTGAGGAATACATGTAACAAGTACCTACCTCTCACTACTTTGTCCGTTTCTAGCTTTTTAAACATGGAAACTAAAACAAATACACATAAGAGATCGGATCAAGATGGCGGAGGAATAGGACATGGACCTCACCTTCTCCCACAAATACATCAAAAATACATCTACATGTGGAACAATTCTCACAGAACATCTACTGAATATGGGCAGAAGACCTCAGACTTCCAAAAAGGAAGAAAATCTCCACATAAGTGGGTAGGGCAAAAGAAAAAAGAGACAGGAATTGGGACAGGACCTGTGCCCCTTGGATGGAGCTGTGAAAGAATAAAGGTTTCTGCACACTGGGAAGTGCCCTCAATGGAGGGGAGATTAGCTGGGACAGAGGGGGTGGGTCGGGCCTGGGTGCTGAGGCCCAGGCTTCAGAGACCAGACCCAGGGGACAAGACTGGCGTTGGCTGCATGGAGACATCCTGAGGGGGCAAGGGTGTGGTACGCCACAACCAAGGGAGTATGGGGGGAGGCCTGGGCCCACCAGAAAGGCAGGGCACCACCATTGGGTGGTGTGAAAGGAGAGGGGTGGGCCTGCCATAGGAACTTCTTTTTTCACATGCTCTCTCAAGTGGCAGGGCACCACCTACATGAGCTCAGGGGACGGGCACAAGCCACAGCTGCCATCTTGGACTCCAGAGGTGGGCCCAGACCACCTTGGCTGCTACTGCCAAGGGTCCTGAGACCCAACGCCAACTGCTGCCCTCACCTCCTGAGGAGTGCACTCAACCTGCCGCCACTACTGAGGGACCTGCAACTGGGAGCCAACCACTACCCCCTCCTTCCTGGGAGCATTCACGGGCAGCATAACTGCACACCCCCTATCAAGGGGATAATGGCCAGCACACATGGAGGAAAGAGATAGCAAGCATCCAAACCAAAAATAACCTTCACACCAAAAAATATTAAGCCCACACAAGCTACAAAGGGATGCTCCCATATATAAATAGCCCTCCAAGACAACAGTAGATAATTGTTTCTCCTAAACTCACAGACTAAGAGAAATATAAGCAAAATGAAGAAGCAGAGGAACCACTCCCAGTTAAAAGACCAAGAGAGGACTTCCCTGGTGGCACAGTGGATAAGAATCCACCTGCCAATGCAGGGGGCACGGGTTCAAGCCCTGGTCCAGGAAGATCCCACATACCACAAAGCAACTAGGCCCATGCACCACAACTACTGAGCCCACGTGCCACAACTACTGAAGCCCGTGCACCTACAGCCTGTACTCCGCAACAAGAGAAGCCACCGCAATGAGAAGCCCATGCATCGCAATGAAGAATAACCCCTGTTCGCCACAACTAGAGAAAGCCCACACAGCAACAAAGACCCAACACAGCCAAAAATAAATTTAAAAAATGAAAAATTAAAAAAAAAAAGACCAAGAGAACTCCCCTGAAGGAACAATGAAACAAACCTCTTCAGTCTAATAGACACAAAGTTCAAAAAGGAGGTAATAAAAATACTGAAGGAATTTAGAAAGGCTACTGACAGAAATGCATATTACTGTAAAAAGAAACTAGAAACTATAAGGAGGAGCCGAAATTAGAAAATTTATTTGCTGAGATGAACCTGAACTAAAGGCAATGAATAGCAGAATGAATAATGCAGAAGAAAGAATAAGTAATCTGGAAGATAGAAAAATGGAAATTACCCAATCGAAACAGCAGACAGAAAGCCAATTAAAAAAAAAAGAAAGCAATATAAGAGACCTATGAGATGGTATAAAATGTCCCAATCTATGCATAATAGGGATTCCAGAAGGAGAAGAAAGAGAAAAGGGGATTGAAAATGTATTTGAAGAAATTATGGCTGAAAACTTCCCAAACCTAAAGAAGGAAACAGATATCCACATATAGGAAGCATACAGGGTCCCCAAAAATATGAATCCAAACAGATCTACACCAAGGCATATTATAATAAAAATGGCAAAAGTTAAAGAGAGGATTCTAAAGGCAGCAAGAGAAAAACAAAGAGTTAATTACAACGGTACCTCTATAAAGTTATCAGCTGATTTCTCTACAGAAACACTGCAGGCCGGAGGGAGTGGCAACATATATTGTCTTGAAAGGGAAAGATCTGCAACCTAGAATACTCTAGCCAGCAAGATTATCATTTAGAAAAGGAAAAATAATAATTTCTCTGACAAGCAAAAACTAAAAGAATACAGCAATAGTAAACCTATCCTAAAAGAAATATTGAAAGATATCCTCTAAATAGAAAAGAACCAAGAAGATATATGAAGGAGGAAATAATAATTGGAAATTAAATCACTTAAATTAGCCAGTATACAGATCAAAATGAGAAAAAAGAAAAAAAAAACCTATATGTGAAAGCAATTATAAATAAAAGGAATAGCAAAAGGATAAACATGAAGATGTAAAAAAGGACATCAAAATAATAAAATGTGGGGAAAGAGAGTAAGAAAATGCAGATTCTTTCTTATTTTTTTTTTTTTAGAATGTGTTTGAGTGTATATGACTATAAGTCCAGCAGATATAGGAAGGGGTTAACATACTTGAAAAACAGGGCAACCACAAATCAAAAACATACAATAGATTCAAAAAAACCAAAAAGAAGAGAACACAAGCATAAAAGGAAATCATCAAAGCAGAAAAAGAGCAAAGAAGAAACAAAGAATCAACTGGAAAACAAGGTTTAATATGGCAATAAATACATATGTATCAATAATTACCTTAAATGTCAATGGACTGAATGCTCCAATCAAAAGACATAGAGTGGCAGAGTGAATAAAAAAAACAAGAGCCTACAATATGCTGCCTATAAGAGACCCACCTTAGGGCAAAGGACACATATATATTGAAAGTGAGGGGATGGAAAAAGATGTTTCATGCAAATGGAAATGAAAGAAAGCAGGAGTTGCAATACTTATATCAGACAAAATAAACTTTAAAGCAAAGGCTATAAAGAAAAAGAAGGACACTACATAATGATAAAAGGATCAATACAAGAAGAGGATGTTTACACTCATCAACTCACATCAATGGACAGATCTTCCAGACAGAAAACCAATAAGGCAACAGAGATCATAAATGATACAATAGAACAGTTAGACTTCATTGATATTTTCAGGACATTACATCCAAAAAAAATGAGAATACACATTCATTTTAAGTGCACATGGAACATTCTCTAGGATTGATCACATACTAGGGTATAAAACTAACCTCAACAAGTTTCAGAATATAGAAATTCTTTCAAACATCTTCTCTGACCACAACGGCGTGAAACTAGAAATCAACCACAGGAAAAGAAATGAGAAAAGAATGATTACATGAAGACTAAACAACATGCTACTAAAAAACCAAAGGGTCAACAAGGAAATCAAAAAAGAAATTTAAAAATACCTTGAGACAAATACCAATGAAAACACAACCACACAAAATCTATGGGATGCAGCAAAAGCAGTTCTTAGAGGGAAGTTCATAGTGATACAGGCCTTCCTCAAAAAACAAGAAAAATCTCAAATAACCTAACGTACCAACTAAAAGAATTAGAAAAAGAAAAACAAAATAAACTTGGAGTCAGCAGAAGGAAGGAAATAATAAAGATCAGGGAGGAAATAAATAAAATAGAGGTAAAAAAAAAAAACAGAAAAAAAATCAATAAAACCAAGAGCTGGTTCTTTGAAAGGGTAAACAAAATTGACAAACCTCTGGGCAGGCTCATCAATAAGAAAAGAGAGAGAACCCAAATACACAAAATAAGAAATGAAAAAGGAGAAATCTCAATTAATACATCAGAAATAAAAACACATAAGAGAATACTATGAACAACTGTATGCCAACAAATTTGACAACCTGGAAGAAATGGACAACTTTCTAAAAACATACAGCCCACCAAAACTGAATCAAGAAGAAATAGATAATTTGAACAGACTGATCACTAGAAGTGAAATAGAATCTGTAATTTTAAAACTCCCTACAAACAAAAGTCCAGGACCAGTGGCTTCACGGGCAAATTCTACCAAACATACAAAGAAGAACTTATACCAATTCTTCTCAAACTCTTCCAAAAGATTGAAGAGGCAGGAACACTCCCAAAGACATACTATGAAGCCACCATCACCCTGATACCAAAACCAAACCAAGATACCACCAAAAAAGAAAATTACAGGCCAATATCTTTGATGAATATAGATGCAAAAATTCTCAACAAAATATTAGCAAACTGAATCCAACAACACATAAAAAGATCATACACCATGATCAAGGGGGATTCATCCCAATTTCATGAGGATGGTTCAACATACGCAAATCAATCAATGTAATATGACACATTAACAAAAGAAAAGTCAAAAACTACATGCCCATCTCAAATGCAGAAAAAGCATTTGACAAAATTCAACATCCATTCATGATAAAAACTCTTACCAAAGTGGGTATACTGGGAACATATCTCAACACAATAAAAGCTATTTATGACTAACTCACAGCCAATATAATATTCAATGGTGAAAAGCTGAAAGGGTTTCCACTAAAATCTGGAACAAGACAAGGATGCCCACTCTCACCACTTCTATTCAACATAGTATTGGAAGTCCCAGCCACAGCAATCAGACAATAAAAAGAAATAAAGAGTATCCAAATTGGAAGGGAAGAGGTAAAACTGTCACTATATGCTGATGACATGATACTATATATAGGAAACCCTAAGGACTCCACACAAAAACTATTAGATCTAATTAATGAATTCAGCAAAGTAGAAGGCTAGAAGATTAACATTCAGAAATTGGTTTTATTTCTTTACACTAACAATGAAATATCAGAAATGGAATGTAAAAAACATAAATCTTAAAATTGCACCAAAAAAAAACACCTAGGAATAAACCCGACCAAGGAGGTGAAAGACCCTGAGAACTATAAAACATTGAGAACTATATGCTGAGAACTATATGCTGAGAACTATAAAACATTAATAAAGGAAATTAAACAGGATTCAAAGAAATGGAAAGATATCACATGCTCTTGGATTGGAAGAATTAATATTGTTAAAATGGCAATACTACCCAAAGCAATATATATATATATATAATGTCAAATTACCTAAGACATTTTTCACAAAACTAGAAAAAATAATCCAAAAATTTATATGGAACCACAAAAGACCCAGAATTGCCAAAGCAATCCTGAGGGAAAAAAACAAAGCAGGAGGCATAACTCTCCCAGACTTCAGACAATACTGCAAAACTACAGTAATCAAAACACTGTGGTATTGGTACAAAAACAGACATATGGATCAATGGAACAGAATAGAGAACCAAGAAATAAATCCA